GGCTCTGAGCTGTCAGCACAGAGCCTGATGCAAGGCTCGAACTCGCGAGCCATGAGATCATGACCTGAACGGAGGTCAGACGCTTAACCGATGAGCCACCCAGGTCCCCTTTAAAGGTTTTATTTTTAAATAATCTCTACACCCATGGTGGGGCTTGAACCCACAACCCCAAGATCAAGAGTCAGATAATCTACCACCTGAGCCAGCCAGGCACTCCCTTAATCACCTCTTTAAAGACACTACCTCAGGGGCACCTGGGTAGCTCAGTCAGCTAAGCGTCTGATTCTTGATTTCAGCTCAGGTCACGATCTCATAGTTTTGTGGGTTTGAGCCCCTTGTTGGGGGCTCTGTGTTGACACGTGGAGCCTGCTTGGGATTTTCTCTCTCTGCCCCTCCTGCACTTGGACTCTGTCTCTCTCAAAGTAAACAAATAAACCTTAAAAAAAAAAAAAAAAAAGACAGTGCTTCCAAATACATTCTGAAGTACTGGGAGGGTTAGAATTTCAACACACGAAGTTTCAAGGGGACACAATATCAACTTCCCATATCAACTTCCTCAGGTGAGATCTAGAGAACTGCCTCTTTCCCTTCCCCAGAGTTCATTAGTGTCTTTGGCAAGGGCTGTACACAGTTCTTTTTTTTTTAATGTTTATTTTTGAGAGATTGAGAGAGAGAGAGAGAGAGAGAGGGGCTGAACCCGAGCAAGGGAGGGGAAGAGAAAGAGGGAGACACAGAATCCAAAGCAGGATCCAGGCTCTGAGCCGTCAGCACAGAGCCCGATGCGGGGCTCAAACCCACGAACCACAAGATCATGACCTGAGCTGAAGTTGGATGGTTAACTGACTGAGCCACCCAGGTGCTCCCCCACCCCCTGCTTTTTTTTTTTTTTTTTTTTTTTTAATGAGGGCTGTACATTCTTGATAAATCTTGCACACGGTACAAATTTCATGCTAATTGCCAGGAAACCATTTTTATTTCCTGTGGTTGGGTTAGAGCACTCTTGTAGTATTTTAGGCCTCTCAGAGAATATGACATTACATCCAGGGTTGGCTGTGCCCACGTGGGTGATGGCTGTTTGCTTGAATTACCTGAGTTCTAGCAAGAATCCCTTTCTATCTGCATCTCTTGACCAAAGTTGATGTGCAGGGAAGCCCTTGATTTTCTGGAATCAGAAATGGTGATTGATAGGATTTTCTATTGATTTCCATCACAGGGTGTTTCCTCTGAGTTTTTCTACAACCCTGGTGTTCTGCTCCCCCCACCCCCCTTGAAAGGAAGTGTTCCTCTCTACAACCCATCTCAGGTCCCCCAGGTAAGGAAGCCCCGAAGGAGACGGGTTAGGAGCACAAATTTTGGATGAAGGTGATCCAGGTTTATAATCCTAGTTTACCACTTACCATGTGTGAGTTCTTGAGCAATGCCTTACTTGCCCTCTGTAAGCCTCAGTTTCTGCATCTATAAAGTGGGGTTGGTAGTAGCTACCTTGCAGGGTAGGTGTGAGGATTAAATGGGAGCATGTATGTGAAGGACCGCACACAGAAAATGGTCAATCAGTGTCGTTATTAGTGATACGACTCTTGACCTTTCACAGGTCTTGAGACTTTGAGAGACACATTGGTGTTGGTACCGGTGGTATGGAAATACCATTACTCCAACCGGGGGGTGAGGGGATCATTGCAACCTTTGAGAGAAGCTAAACTTCCTGCTCTTCAGGGACCTGGGGCAGACCGATCCTCTAATGTGCCAAGTTGGCCTCCCCCCTTCATAAAATTGAATTTCTTCTGCCACATCCAAGAGGTATTGGGTGAAAGTAACTAATTAGATTATCACAAAAGGAAGCCACATACAGCTCTCGTGTTCAGGATCCCCTAGCTCAGTCCTGCTAGCCAGCCCTGGATGGAGTCCTGCTTGGGGCTATAATCTCATGTGACGATTATTCTTTTCCAGCTCTCCACGGCTACTAGCTTGAACCGGCCGAATCGCCTAGCCCAGCGCCGCTATCCAACCCAGCCGTGATGAAAACCACACCCATTCCAAGCTGGTCTCCTTCCTTGATCTCCAGCCCCTCTGCCATATTGGGGTCCCCAAGAGGGTTGTGCTGGCCTGTTGCCTCCCCTGTCACAAAGAAGGCAAGAGGACAGGGTCTTCTAGGACACAGCTCAGTCCAGTCTCTTAACATTGGCTTCAGAATGATGGAGAGTAGTTGGGTAGAATAGCAGACCGGAGGTGAGCAGAATGCCATGGGGGAGATTCAAGATGGTGGCTTCAGATCTTCAGGAAAGTCAAGGTTAAGAACCCCTTGGCTGGAATCAATGAGAACCCACTAGGCTCTGAGGCAGGAAATTATTTGGGGGAGGCTCTCAGCAATATTCGCAACTAACTTTGACTGGTTCCTCAGTCTTAGTTATGGACCGATTCGTGCCTCTAGTTAGCAGAGCTTTTATACTGAAACTTGATTATTGCTTCCTGTCATAATTCCCTCCACAGTGACATTTCAGCAGTTTCCCTCTTGGTCCTAGTTTTGTGCACATTTTTATGTGCTTCAGATTAATTATATTTCTCTCACTTTCTTAGCTGGTCCTATTTTTTCACATTCTGGCATCTGGCTATCAAGTTAGATTGCTATAGGCATCATATTGTCATGGTAACCGCTGAACCTAGTGATGCAGATGGATGGAACATCAGTATAATAAATGATGGGGGATGTTTCCTAAAAATGCACCCCTTCCCTGAGAGAGGAGAACGTGTGCCTGATAGTGTTAACCCCGCCCTTCCTACCTCGGGCCTCTGCGGATTGATGTTCGCAGGGTCACGGGAGCCAGAGGGAGGCGGGGAACATCTTGGAAGCTTCCAGTTCTCTTTTCAAACCCAAAATAGGAATGACTCTTGCTGTTGTCAGATTTGCTGAAAATTGCTCCTCACAAAGAACATTTTTTGTATGTGTAATTGTACATACAGGTTTTGTACTCTAATGCAGTACAGTTCTGATGTTATGATAGCGATTAAACCAGATCATTTTATAGCAAATGCTTGTCTCTGGCTGATTTTTGCAGAGGGAGAGAGCATCCAGAGCACATTCATCCCTGAAGTGCTTCTAATAATGGTTTCATTGTGTGATAAGGTGCGTATAGCTGGAAAGAGCCCTTTGTTAACAAAGAATCTGGGGACTGAGCCTCTTAACTTCCAAGTCTAGCGTTATTTTTTCAATTGAAAAAATATGGACAAAAGCGCCTCTGATGCAAATCAGCCACTCCATTAACTAAATATTGCATACTCTGTTCTCTAAAAAGTTTATTCATCTCTCAGATTAAATTAGGAAATGTCTGCATAAGTGTTTTCTAGACTGAGAAGGCCCTCAGTCAATGCTGTTTCCTTACTTCCCCTAAAAGACTGCTGCTTCTTCACTCTGGTGTGCTGACACCCAGTGGCGGTACAATGGCAGTCGTGTGTGAGTTTCACAGGACCCAGACTCGGATCTCAAGGCAGCTCAACCTTGTAAACTTGGGCAAGGTCATTTCACTGACTGGTGCTTCAGTTCCCTCAACTATAAAATGAGGATGAGAGTTATGATAGTAGCTACCACATAGGGACATGCAAGAATGAGAACCAAAGTCTTAGAAAAAGTACCTGAGGGGCGCCTGGGTGGCTCAGTCGGTTAAGCGTCCGACTTCGGCTCTGGTCATGATCTCACGGTCCGTGAGTTCGAGCCCCACGTCGGGCTCTGTGCTGACAGCCCAGAGCCTGGAGCCCGTTTCAGATTCTGTGTCTCCCTCTCTCTCTGCCCCTTCCCTGTTCATGCTCTGTCTCTGTCTCAAAAATAAATAAAACGTTAAAAAAAAAAAAAAAAAAAAAAAAAAAAAAAAAAAAGAAAAGTACCTGGAACGAACCAAGCACTCTAAGTGTGGTTTAAAAAATTATTAGTAAACAACATAATAAGTAAAATCTAGACTGTCCTGTTGCCTACCAAGTTAAACTGTCATTTGTTTTAATATATTTTTTTAATGTTTATTTTTGGGAGAGAGAGCACGAACAGAGGAGGGGCAGAGAGAGGAAGACACAGAATCCAAAGCAGGCTCCAGGCTCTGAGCTGTCAGCACAGAGCCCGATACGGGGCTCGAACTCACAAACCGTGAGATCATGACCTGAGCTGAACTTGGACACTTAACCGACTGAGCCACCCAGATGCCCCTAAACGGTCAGTTTTTCATTCATGATATAGGTAATGGAACAGGAACTTAAAACTACTTTTCATTCAGTGTCCTTATTACTGAGTTTTTCTTCACGTACCTATCTGCCACCAATGCCAGATCCTGTGGCTTAGTGCCCCTGGGAACAAGGGCTTAAGGGAAGTCCTACCCCATAAAAAGAAGCTCTTGAGAGGAGGAGAGTGAGGGCTGAAGAGGAAGGCAGAGACAGCAGATGCTGGTGTGCTCACTTCCTCCTCCCGTTGGCGTTATCCATGGAAAGCCAGGAGTAAAGCATCAACAGAGCAAGCACTGAGCTGAGTTACTTCCTGGGCAGAGGGATACCCAGCAAGGGACTACTTTTCCGAGGGTAAGTCAGGGGTTTTTAGAAAGGGAGAAAGGGAGGCCGTCATGCTATGTTTGCTAATTCATGATTGAAAGCTTGTGCTCTGCAAAGTCAGGTGCATCCATTAGTCTGTACATGGTTGGTTAAAACAAGTCCTGTTGTTCCTTGGGCAGGAAAGAGCCCTCAGCTGGGTCCAGTGAGGTCTGATGAACCGGGGTCACTCAGAGTTCTTGGTTGTTTATCAGCTCTTTTTACTCGTGGTGATGGTGGGGAGGTTGCTGAAGGTCATGATTCTTTTACAGCTTCAGCTGGCCGAAACCAGTTTTGGTGAAACAAAGCAAGTGCAGCTGTAAGAGGAAAGTATTTGTTTCCTTCTTTAGAAGGTGGAAGCTTTGGGGAGCAGAGCAGGTTGTGATAGAAATCTGCTGCTAGGGGGCGCCTGCGAGGCTCAGTCGGTTAAGCGTCCAACTTCAGCTCAGGTCATGATCTCGCAGTTTGTGGGTTCGAGCCCCAGGTCGGGCTCTGTGCTAACAGCTCAGAGCCTGAGCCTGTTTCAGATTCTGTGTCTCCCTCTCCTTCTGCCCCTCCCCCCACTCACAGTCTCTTTCTCAAAATAAAGGCATTAAAAAAAAAAAAAAAAGATGCCTCCAGGGCTGGGGAGCCTGAGAGCTTGGGGCTTGTGGCCTCTTCCTTATCTGTAGCTTGGGAGAGGCTGCAGGGTCTGAGGGGAAGCTGGCTCTGGCCTAGCAACTTGTCCCACATGACTTGAGAGTCCTAACAGCTTGGCCTCAGGGACGGTCAAGGTCTGAGGCAGAGCTTCTAGCGCCCTGCAGCCTGGTGCACGTGGACCCCAGCAGGGAAGGATGGCTCGGTGTCCCTGAAGGCCACAAGGGGCCGGCTGTGCCCCAGCCAGACACCTGCAGAGGGCCCACTGTATCAGCCACAGGCCTGCCTTCCCGTCACCATGAGCCATGGCGGGGAGAGAGAGTAAGCAGAATTCTCTAAGGGAAAGCTTTACCCACAGACACTATTTCAAAGGGAAGAGCCTGAGACATCAACCTGCAAGTGTGTTTCCTCCCCTGTTCTTCAATGGGGTGTAGGCTCGGACAAAGAATACTTACAGGGAACAAAGATGCTACGTTTTCCTTAAAAAACTGAGCGGTGATGTGCAAATTTGCGATCCTGCAATATACATACAATTTAATATTTATATGAAAACATTTAAACTTAATGTTCAGTAATTTGGAAGAGAACAAACCGTTAAATTCCCATTTAAGTGTCTTTATCACATATCACCATTCCAGCCCTTCTGTCTAATCCCCTTACATGCCTATAAAACTGCAGACCAGCCAGGCTTCCTCAGTCACCTGCATCTACTCCCCTGTCAGCCTTAACTCAAGCTTCAGGTTGTGCAGGATCAAAGCCTCCGCGAGCTTTCCTTCCCCCTTAGAAATCTTTTTTTTTTTTTCTCTTTGGTCTCTTCCTCTGGGCAACCAAGACGAAGGGCAAGAGACCGCCTCCACCTCTCCACAAAAATCGGAATATTATCTTCCCAAGAGGAAATATGCAAAACAGTCTTCGGCTTGAAAAGAACAATAGGGGTGTAATTTCGGTCTGAGCGCTCTCTGGGGTTTCTCTGATATTTCTTCCCACCCCTTCCCAGAGAGTGGAATGGAAGTGATGTTTGCCTCTTCTGTTTGCCAACTGAAGCTGGAAATTGCACAGATCACGATCTGCACGCCACAGGGTGCTGGCCACTTACCTGAGGTTGCAGCCAAACGTGGTCCCCAACGCTGCCGGCTCCCCGTGAGCGCCTGAATCAGCCACTGCCCATTCAGGTCCTCCAGAAATGGTTTCTTTATGAGATGTAAAGTTATTTTGAATGAGGATTAACAGCACAGTGAAATGTTCTGTTACAACCTCATTAAGTAGAGGAATCTGCTTCCCATGCTTTCGTCCTTTCTGTACGCATCTCTGGGTAACAGCTCTTCGCTGGAACTAGGTCAACGGCAGCATAACCTGACTGACCTGTACAAACTGCCTGTTACTTGAACGTGAGGCGTTGTCCTGGTCTTGATCCGCCTTAGAGCCGATTAAGTATCCAATTTTTAAAGAATCTCAAGAGAGGGGGATTCCTCGGCAGCCCAGACTTTCACACCCTCGACATTAGGAAGTTATTCCTAATACTTTATACCCAAATCACTCATGTGGCTCTTTAAGACTCTCAGCCGGTCCTCAGTGGAAATGGGAGAACAGCTGCTTGCCGCCACCTGTGCCCAGAGTTCTTTCGCATTCTGGAAGGCCATTAAATCCTGCCTCAGCTTGTGAAATGAAGGTTCACAAAATGGGGTTTTCTTGATTAGAATTGGGGGTGAAACTACCTAAATGTTTGGAGTCTCCTGGTAGCTACAATGGCCAGACACTCCGAATTTCACTAACAGCAATAATACTTCTTGACTGTTTCCTTTGCATCGGGTACTGTGAAA